ATCTTCACCACCTCATCAGTTCCCGGGGACTGGCCGTACGTAAGCCCGTTTTACGACGTGCCAGTCGAGCACGAAGCGATATTTTCACGGATGACCGATGGTCGTCTTTTTCTAGCTTGGGCCTAGTCGCTTCCTCGAGGGCGGCTTATGGTCGCACCCCGTCGTTAGAACTCTGGCTCTATCTTGTTTCTTCTAGGGCTTAGGGTTGACGCCGGCGTCAGACCCAGTGTAAAGCCTCACGGTGTGTTGCTCCTGTTCTTGCTTCTATGGGTGCCAAGAGACCGTAAATCCTTGCAGGCGCTCGGCAACGGTCAATTAGCTCCACTGAAGACTTTTCCCTCGTTGAGGCACGCGATTGCCACGGCGGTAAAGTTTATAGTCCGCAATAAAAATTACAGACTTTGAATTTTTAGTTTATAGACTCGTAATAAAAATTACGCGACTCGAAGATAAACTATGTCTTACGAATCCTTATATTGAGTCAATTGCTGGTCGGTGCTCAGACAACTGACTCTTGAAGTACCCTGTATATCACGCGGTAAACGAATTAAGCTAATTACAAATTATCGCGACCTTAGTGGCGAGTAAGTTGGAAAAACGAAAGTTAGGTTGTAGATACGATGCACATGCGGCAAATTACATGCGAAAAACCAGTTAGAACTTCACGAGTTCGTAACTATCGTAAACAGCTTATTTAGGATGATCAACCTCACGGGGTTGTGGCTAATGAAAGATGAACTAACTAGAACCTCTCGAGTTCGTAGCTAGTGCGGAATGAACAAAAAGCTTAGCTCGAACTGCACGAGTTCGTGACCGTCGCGGATTGAACCTTTTTTCAGGGCGTTTTTATAAGATTTGTGACGTAGTTTAACCGTTATTTCTGCGCGGGAGCCAATCACGTTGCGCAGAAATGTAACGTTTTTTTTTAATTTAACGGGAAGCGCCCGTCGTCCACGCTCCGATCGAGAAAGTGCCGGAGCCCAACCCAAAACTGGCGGACGTGCACTGAACGGTGTCGTCACGCGGCTCCTCGACCCAACGTAAAACAGGCGGACGGGCGAAAATGGTGTGACGTCACAGCCTTCGAAAATTCGGGTCGGCGACAATGGTTACCACTACATATTCGACATCCAGGATTTTACTTGTCTCATTCGCGGTCCCATCGGCACCAACTCTTGCCCAATCGTAATCCCGGGGACTCATCTATCTTCAGTGGGAAATCTCATTTGTAACTCCACTTCGAACGCTACTCTTGTAAGTTCTTCGACGCTTCCAATCATTCTACCTGCGACAGCCATTTGGATCTCAGATTTCATTAGTACTCTTAATTGGGGTACTAGCATATGCATAGGGATCTCGAATTCTAACCTTCTATATAACGCCAATTTCTGTGCGATAAATACTGTAACATCTTCTTTTCCCTGATGTTTGCACAGTAAATCTTGCTGCAATTTCAACCTCACATATACATTGTATATGTGAGGTTGTGTATATGTGATAAATTTATTTAATAGATTCGCCGCAAATTCTTGAAATGACCAATCGAAATATTTTTATATCCTATACCAATTTTCTGCATCTCTGCGTAGCCTCGTTACAGCAAACTTGGTCCAATTCCTTTCGTCGTACCTCTCTTTTAAGCACACCTCTCTAACTTCTTCCAAGAATTTCTTAGGACTTTCGTGATCGGTGCCGGCAAAGATCGGATCGAACTCCGGCCTTCTAACCTCTTCTCTTGGCACATTTCTCACAGCTACCACCTTTTCCATAGCTTCTTTAAACATCTTTACTATTCTCTCTTCACCATCTTCCTCTTTTTCTCTCTTTTGGGCGCCACTGAGCTAAATTTTTTGGCCTGTAGCCCAGAACAGGCGTTTTATCTTCTCCAGCTTCTAACCAATCCATTACATTTGTTGTCTGCGTAGTTATCTCAGTCGTTAGAGCATGAGGGTCATTAATCTCTGGTCGTCGACTCGCGCCCCACGTTGGGCGCCATGTTCCCGTTCGAGAGCCTGCGCAGCGCCTACGGACCCTCCGGCATCTATGTCCGGGTAATTCGTTTCAGTATTCAAACTTTCCGAGAATCGCAGTTCGAGCTGAGGACGTGATTCTGCCATTTCTTCCCTTGTGTAGGCTACGCTAGGAATGACACCCCCATTAGTCGCGAACACAACCTCCAACGACTCCGTCGAGGTCAACGATTCCTGAAGCAGGTCCTCCCCGACGTCTGCCGTTGGCTTCGGCACACAGGCTACTCTATTCGGTCTTGAGGTCATTTTTACATGCACAGGTGTCCTAGTGAAATTTACTTTAAGGTCTGATCGTTAACTATCCCCCTGTATATGAATTTTACTGACACGACGTTACTTAAAGGCTATTTAACTTTATTTTTATTTTTTCTTCTCGTTTCCAGGTTTCTTACGACTCTATCTAGCACCTTCTAGCTTTCATTACTTCTGCAAAACTATTCCTTCTTTCTAGTAATACTACTTTAATTACTATCACCAACTCAATCTACTCTTTGTAACCTTTAGTCTCTAACACCTATACTAGTCTATCTTTCTTAAGTCTCAATCACAAATTTTGCGATATACCAAAGTTAATTGTCTTATCGTCGTGCTACAGACTGCTTCGGTCGCTGGTCAGTCCTTCAGGACACCTTCCAGGCTGGAAACACTTTTCTTTGTTTCAGATTGGTTACTACAATGTACGCACCACTGGTGATCAAAGCTACTCAACAGGACACGCAGTAAAAGACGCCAAATCTTCACAACAGATATATTACAGATAAGTTTACACCCTTTACCACCCTTTCAACCACTCATGGACAGGTAAGTTTTACACACCCGGTACGACGTACTTCTCGGTTCCGGTCACTAAAATTTACTTCTCACGACGCAGGTCAACTGTCTATCGGGTTTTCGGCTCGCTGAATGTTCTGCAACGTCGAATTCTTCCAGAAATGAATGCCTCTCCAACTTTTTCCCGTTCGCGGCTCGTGGAACTACCCAGTTCTCGCGGCCTAACAACGTCTTCTCACCGCTGTCACTTAACTGTCAGCCCGCGCGATATGATATTTCTCCGCGTTTACCGTTACTTTGCGACTTCCACTAACTAATAAGTCACACTATCGGCTTTTGAACGATTCTAAAACTCTAATTTCCATCAGCACTCGCTTGGCTTCGAGCGCTCGAACGACTGTCACTCTAAGTTAAAAATTTTATGACTGTCACTGATCTCCATCGAAACGGATATTTTACTTTTATTTCCCGACACACACCGGATCGGTGAGAGAAATCGAACTGTGAAAGAAAAATGCCAAATTTGGCAACACTGTCAAAGATGTATAAATTTAAATGGATAATTTTGTCTGCTCCTGTATAATCTAGGCATATTGAATATCTGTTTGAACTTGGAAATTAACATTATCATGAGTTAATTTAATTGCCCAAATTTCATTGTTGTCATGACTTAGAAGTTATAATTGGAATTTGTTTTCAAACTTCTTTTTATGAAGACGAATAACTCCACAACGAAGCCCGATAGGAAAAAAATTGTTTATGAAGTACCTACTACAGCTATTTTGAGCTCCCCTCATTTTTGACATGACCTTTCCCGACACCCTGTATATAAAAAAACAAAAAAAAAACTTCATAACTTGGTCCATTTGCTTATTATGGTCATTTGTGGTTACCTGAGAACAAGAAAAATATTTCTTAAAATTTTATACATACTGCTCTTTATAAAAATTTCTTGAAGGATGTGGAAGTCATAACAGCACAAAATTAGCTATGTCGTACGATGCTAATGATGCTATACCTACTGGAAGTATTTTAGTCTTTCTACGATTAGTTAATTCCTTAATTACTGCAAATATAATTAAATTAGAAGTAAAAACGATATCTTGGACTTAATTAAGCTTAATGCAATCTATTTATTCCGAATAGGTACATAAAGGAGGTTAGATTTCCATTTACCGAGAAATTGTACAGTCTAAAGCGATTGTAGGTATTGAAATCGATTTCATCATGTGGCTTTTTACCGTTAATATATTTTGATACAATCTAGAGCAACCGAATAAGAATTCCTTTTCCGAAAACGAAAAATTTACCTGTACGCAATTTTAAAAATCTTTCCGTTACTTTTGTGTAGAGCACAATTATTGGCCACCATTTTTTGGTGAAGTGACAGATTTTTAGTTTTCGAATTTGCACGCAAGGCTTTTAATAGGTGTATTCTTCTCGAGTAGTTAATAAAATGGTATCAACTGATTGACTAAAGAGAACATTTTAGAGGGACAACTGGTAGGAGTTTATTTATGTTGCACTCATTTTCTAAAAGTGGTTTGTGAAGATGTAGATGCAGATGCTTTAAGTAAAGCATATGAGCAGAAAAATTTATTGAATGATTTGCAAGATTTACAAATGCGCCACATAGACGAACATTTTATTAAAAGCCGAAATTATAAGCAGCAAGTAACATTCTTGGAAGATTATTTAGAGGAGCTGAAAGTAAAAAAAAATATCATTGTGCTACGCAGAATTCGAAAAAAGTAGAGAAATTTTTTCTTCAAAAAAGCCTATTCATTAAAAATTATTATTTGCTTGATAATTCAAAGGAATAAAATAAAATCGAAAAATTTTGGAGAAGGGTAGTTAGAAAACTATTCTTATTTATAACCGATTTTGATGAAACTTATGATAGTACAAGACTCTTATGGTATGATTATTACCTACAATTTCCATTCCATTATCTTAATCAGAAAGAAAGTTATTTTAAAAAATATCCAACTGATAAGACTCCTTTGGAGGGTCATATTTCAGTAACGGTGCTCCGGAGGGCCAATGTTTATAGGAACTTTTTTTTACTATTTTTGGCTGTACTTTCACCTCCTGTCCCAACTTTTCCAAACACCCTGTATATTAGTAGAACTTGTGAACCAGTAATAAATTTTCTTTTTTTTGTCACATTTATTAATATATAAAATAATATATTTACAGAAAAATCTTGCCGAAAACCTAATTTGCAAGAAGGTGCACTCATACAAGGAAAATCTTTCCTCTACAATGATACAGTTACAATTATGTGTTCAGATGGATCTCGTCATAAAATAACATGTAATAAGTATGGAGTTTGGGAAGGAGACACAGAAGTTTGTTGAATATATAGGATCATTCACGCAGTCAGATATGAATAATTTGAGTTGTATTTATATTTTTGTATTACATTTTGATAAATATAGAAATTTACCTATGTTGTTTTCAAATTTGGAGTGATTTGCCGCCTCCGTTTTAAGTTGATATTGTGGTTGGCAATGCTAATTGTCCCTGTATGTTGTTTTTTAACCTCATTGGCTGTTTACTAGTTTGAATATTAGTAGATTGTTTTCAAAAAACTTGTTCTGATAAAGATATAAAAAATAGTTCAAATTTCAAAGGCTCCTTTTTACTGTATTAGTTGTAAAATGTTAAAAATTGACTGAAAAATTGTTTATTTTTTAAATGTTGATTATAGTTACAATTGTTTTTAATCTAGTGAAGTTCATAAAATTTTAACAACAATGTTCTTGTATCTCTTTTTGATGGTTTTTATATTATAATCTCACGTTTGTAAGTATATAATAAGCTTTTATAACTTATTATTCTAAGCATTTTTGTCATTTTTTACAGATGTCTTGAGAAAGGAAATAAACATTTCCGAAAGCTTGACAACAACATAGAGTGTTCTTATTATACTAGCCCTTAGCACTGTTGACTGCAATCCCAAATACATCACTGTTTTTTTTCTTAACTAGTCAGTCAAGACTACCCTTCCTGCTCTATATACAGGGTGAATTTTAAGTTGATACTTTCCTTTTACACTGTATAGTTTGCAAGAAAATAAGAAAATTTTTTAAATAAAAGTATGTCCGAAAATGCTTCGTTTCCGAGATACAGGGTGTTAAAGTTTTAAGGAAAAAATGCCTTTTTTATCATAACTTTCCTACCACTCCAGATATTTCCACAAAATTTGGTACACTTCTTTTGACCATTAAATTACATTTTTTGATGTAAAAGTTTTCAAAAAATTTCTACCAGTGGCGTTCGAACAGGATTTGTATTGAACTGTTTTAAAGAAAAAAAAAGTACGCCACTGTTTTTTCTTAAAATCAATATTATGTTTGTAATACTGATTTACTTTGGAGTTAATTTGGTCTCTTGATATTTGTTCATACGACGAACGGTTTTCGTTTAAAGAAATAAAAGCCATTTTGATGCATGGCAAAATCGCTAAAATCTGATATGGTGTTTTGTATGTAAAATTCGTTTTTGACTAATTTGTATTGTATGTACCAGTGGCGTTAGGTTTTTGACTGTGTAAGAGGTTCCTAAAAGAAACAGTTTTTTTTATGTAACTTTTTATTTATTAACTGTAAACTAAACGAGATACGTACACATTTCTGTTAGTAAGAAAGATGCAATACCTATGTCCTAAGTTAAATTAAATGTTCGAAGTTGGCACCATTTTCTGTTATGCAACACTGTGCACGTTTTATCCACTGTTCTGTAACGGCGCGTAGCAACGAAATTGGTTTCCTTATTGTTGCTGCAGTCTATTCTATGCGAACAATCATTTCCTCCCGTGTGTTTACACGCGTTTTAAAAACTAAACTCATCATGTAACCCCATAAAAAGAAATCACATGGAGTGAGGTCTGGGGATCGAGGTGGCCACGCAACTGTTCCATTTCTACCAATCCATCTATTGGGAAAAGTATTATCTAAGAATTCCCTCACATCCCTTATAAAATGAGGAGGAGCCCCATCTTGCAAATGCCACATGTTTTGCCTGATATTAATTGGTACTTCTAAGAGATTAGGCAGATGATTTTGCAAAAAGTTTAGATATTCTTCGCCCGTTAAACGGTCAGGTAAGATGTGGGGCCCAATGAGTATTCCATTCACAATGCCTGCCCATACATTTACAGAAAATCTGTGTTGAAAATTTGTCCTCTTAATAGCATGGAAATTATTGATTCCATTTCGAGTAAATATTGCCTCGTCCACAGAAACAATTCTTCTAGAAAAATTTTGATCAGCTGCTTAGTTCTGTAGGAGCCATTCACAGAACTGGACTCTGCGGGGATGGTCTTCAGGTAGTAGCGCTTGTACACGTTGAACATGAAACGGATATAGCCGATTTTCCCGCAGTGTTTTCCATACTTTTGATTGACTTAATTCGACCTCATCTGCAATATCTCGAGTACTTCTTGATGGGTCTTCATCGATAATATTTAAAATTTGTTGTTCTTTCTGCACATTGTCAGGTTGTCTCGGTCTTCCTGCATGTCCCCCACGATGTTCCCTTAAATCNTTCCATACTTTTGATTGACTTAATTCGACCTCATCTGCAATATCTCGAGTACTTCTTGATGGGTCTTCATCGATAATATTTAAAATTTGTTGTTCTTTCTGCACATTTTCAGGTTGTCTCGGTCTTCCTGCATGTCCCCCACGATGTTCCCTTAAATCACCTGTTTCTCTTGCCCTCCGAACAACATTGGTAATAGTATGGGGTGTGGGATGGACTCTTAAGGGAAAGCGTTCCGCGTATAGCCGCGAAGCTGCAGCCGCATTGTGATGACACCCCCCGTAACTTAGCAGCATATCCACAAGATCATTATTCTCATAAGTATGAGCCATTTTCACAATCGAAATAGTCGCTAACTAATAAAATCACGTCGGAAAGGTATGACACAAGTGATCGACAAGAAATTGACAACCCATTGCTTGACATAAAAACCTAAACATAAACATACTTTTAACGGATAATTTTTTGCAGGTGGATCAGTTTTTGGATCCTTTTTTTTTTTTCAGGTACTTGAATCAAGCGATTTGAAAATGTTGCTTCTTTTATTGAAAATAATACCTACTGATACATTTTTTTCATTACATTTGTATTGTAGTAATGTAAGTAATTGGCCTTACTTTAATACAAATTAGTCAAAAACGAATTTTACATACAAAACACCATATCTGATTTTAGTGATTTTGCCATGCATCAAAATGGCTTTTATTTTCTTTAAACGTTCGTCGTATAAACAAATATCAAGTGACCAAATTAACTCCAAAGTAAATCAGTATTACAAACGTAATATTGATTTTAAGAAAAAGCAGTGGCGTACTTTTTTTTTCTTTAAAACAATTCAATACAAATCCTGTTCGAACGTCACTGGTAGAAATTTTTTTAAAACTTTTACATCAAAAAATGTAATTTAATGGTCAAAAGAAGTGTACCAAATTTTGTGGAAATATCTGGAGTGGTAGGAAAGTAATGATAAAAAAGGCATTTTTTCCTTAAAACATTTAACACCCTGTATTTCGGAAACGAAGCATTTTCGGACATAATTTTATTTGAAAAATTTTCTTATTTTCTTGCATTCTATACAGTGTTAAAAGGAATGTATCACTCTGTATACAGGGTGTCCCGGAAATGGTGGGCAATCTCTCGGATATGGATAGATAATGAGAAAATAATGTCACAAGTTCATAAAAAATTTTTTCCTCCGGGCTCACCCTGTAGAGTTATTAGCTCTTGAAGTTGAGAATTAAAA